CCGGTGATTCCAGCCCCAGCGACCCTCGGGGGGCCCGGGGGAGCCAGAGGTGACGCAGAGGAAATGGAAAGAGTTTAAGGGAGCGGGCAGCGGCCGGAGCCAGGCCTCTGGATTGAACTGAGTTCCTAGAAGCGGGTCTCCGTCCACCTGGGCCGTGCTTCGCATTTCTTGCACGCACATTTACAAGTAGGCTAGGATTTTAATGTAGATTTTAAAAGAGGATTAAAACAGCAACTGAAGTCGTGCCCTTCTTGGAGGAAAAAGTCATTTAGGTGTGAATCTGAACAAGGAAACATGTAGCCGTGACAGGTCAAAGCGGAATCTGTCCCAGACTCGCTACTTTCCTTACGCACCACTTACATTAAAGAGGAAAATCGAAATCATGTTAGTGTGCATTCATGCCAACCTCATTCCACACGGAGGAGTCTGCTACACTTCAAACTCTTCGGTTTTATTTAGATTTCTTTTTCTAATGCTATTTCCTTCCTTTCCTTTCCCTTTCCTTTCTTTTCTTTTTTGCAGTGTTTTCCCCAGCTCTGTTTCCTTGGCTTCTCAGGAGCCTGCTCTCTTTGTATCCCATCTGCCCCTTCTCCCAGGCAGGAATTCCTTGTGCTTTGTCAGGTCTTTTATTCTTTAATGCTTTTCAGTTTGTGATGAAGCCGTCAGAACTGGTTTTTCCCCATCCCAGTAACAGGTGTGAGCCTTGGAGGAATTTGTTTTATTTCAAGCCTGGCAATGGTGGGCCGGTGCTACAATTTCTAGTTAGGAAAGGGTCTTCTTCTTTTCCCCTATCCTTGTGTGCTGGGTGTGTGTGTGTGTGTGTGTGTGTGTGTGTGTGTGTGTTTCTGTACAGGTGCGCACATGCTGAGTGTCTGAGATTTGAGATAAGAGGCTAGCAAAACTATTTCTGTGAGTGTCTTTAGCCCTACATTTCTCTAGGCATGAAGAGTTGTAGGAGATTGTTGGATGTGTTTTGATCGGTTCTACAATAGTGGAGGGGAAATTTTCTTCTGCCTCCAGTGTCTTACTCGTGCTGTTGTCTGTGTGTGGTAGGTGGCCTGGACAGCTCGTGTCCTTGATTGGCCTCTGTCGCTACGGTGGGCGGATTGACTGCTGCTGGGGCTGGACTCGCCGCTCCTGGGGACAATGCCAGCGTGAGTATCAGCCCTCCGCCGGTTCCGGCCAGCTCCCCTCTGAGGAGAGCCCGGGGTGCATTTTACCAGGTGCCCTTGGGGCTCCCGTGTTCCCTTTGTGCTCACTGGTTTCTTCCCTGCAGGCCCTGAGGTGGAGTAAGACAAGGAGTCTAGACGATATTTACACTAAATAAACTGGGAACCTTAGAGCGCTTCTAAAACCTCCACAGCAGCTGTTGTGTAAAGAGGCCCATTTATAGTTGCTTTTGAAGAGAGGGTGCCTTCACAGTGCCCTTAGTGAACCACCTACTGCAGTCAGAGAAGACCTGGAAAAGCATCAAGCTCAAAGTACCCAACCGGAACACTAGTTTCTGTTTTCTCACATTCAAAATGAACATTATTTTGGTGAAGTATCAGGGCTACATCCCGGATGCTTGAGAAGTTTAGACAATATCTTTCCAGAGTTTACCTGGATCTCAAAATTTTACCCCCCCGCATGGACAGCAGATGATCAAATAAACATCCAGGACATCTCTAGCATGCTGGGGGCCCAGGAGGTGAGAGGAAGGGAGCCATGGGGTTGTGCTGGGGAGAAGGGAGCTGCTCAGGCTGAGGAAGGTGGTTACAGCTGGGGCTGGTGGAGGAGGACCCTACCTTAGAGAGGGCTGGCCAGTAAATGGGCCAGGCAAGTTAAGTTTCCCTCGGCTCCCTCGATGTGGGAGTGTGCTGGTGAGGTTTCTGTGCACGATGACTCTGGTCGCACACACAGGCTTCTGTCTCTGGCTGGCTGGGAAGGGGTGGTGACCGGGGCTCACGCTTCTCACCCTGTGCTGTGCGAGCCAGGAGCGAGGCCCTGTGCCCTGCCCAGCCCCTGTCCCTTCGTTAGAGATGAGGTGACTCTAGTTTCCAGGAAGCAAGAGGAGGCGAAGATGCGGTGTCCCCGCTGCTGGGTCTGCTCAGTAGTGTTTCAAGGAAGATGGTCAGAAAGGAGAGCGGTATCTGGCGGGAATTAGTGCCCTGCCAATTAGACCATAGTGCCAGGAGTGTTTGCACACCTGGAGGCCAACAGGTGAATTGGAGCACCCCCGGGCTGTAATAACGAAGAGCATCCTTGCCTTGGCCCTGTCTGTACACACTCCCCCACGGGAAAGCGGGGAGTCTCTTTCCAGCCCTCCTCCTGTGCTGCCCTAATCAGATGCTGCAGTGCTGTAGGGTCCTGCAAGTGTGGGCCATGCCCAGGGTATGCTGCACTGGCAGAAAGCCCCGGGCAGCAGCAGGCGCACCTTCCTTTCTAAAGGCAGAGCTTGGGCATGCAGGCTTCTGGCCAGGGCGTGGGAAGGAGTCTGAAGGAAACACTGCCAGGATCTCCAGGAGTTTCTTGCACTGAGAAGCCCCCCAGGTAGCATCTGTTGGAGCTGCTCTGGTTTCCTGTACCCAACAGGCACGTGGCAGGCAATTGAGTTTAAATTCATGCAGAGACCTTTTAGAGTTACAGAGATACTACAGGGTTTTGTCATTCAAGAAATTTCCAAGTGTTTTACTTTCCACATAGCTTTCCTAACAGTCACGGGGCACTTTTAGTGTGTTTATACTTCATTTTGTTCCTAAAAGAAGGCAAAATGGTAAATATAGTATCTGCTAGTGTTCGTCTTTTCCCTCTTCTTATTCCTCAGTGATCTGAGAAAACTGCAGCACGGCGTGAGTCGATTGTTGAAATGGTTGTGTTATAAAAGTGTGTAAAATCTTTCTGCACAAATCACAGCTCTTGGCACTGAGTCAGCACTGTGTGTGAATTTAGTAAAGTGAAAGAGATGCAAGAGAGGTGCGCTCCAAGCCGTGTGGGAGGAAGGGCGCATCTGTTATTGGAGTCTGTGTTTTCGTGAGCCGTGACGCTTTTTACCTTGTTCCTGCCAAAATTAAAACTGGTTCCGAAGTTCTTTGTGTTTTGATAAAATAAGACACCCACAAATTGAGCAGGAGCGAAATGCTTCTTCACTATTGATGCTGAAGTCGGCAAGGTTGTCAAAGCAAATTCAGAGGTGGAGAGGTGGATGTGTTCGTCCGTGTGTTTTATTTTCTCAGAGTCTTAATCCATTCGGCTCAGGTTAGTTCAGAGTTCTGCCTCTTTGTTTCCATATAAACAGGTAGAGGAATGTGGGGTCAGAGGCCAGCCCGAGGGGTAGAACAGCACCAAAAGAGCTTGTGGATGACTGAGATAGCACCAAACATTCCTGATTGTTTCTCAGAGAAAGCGTTTATGAAGTGAACACACCTTGCCGGGACATACTTTCCAGGAAAATGCCTTGCTATTCTATCACAATTAAATGTAGCAATGGATTACCTATGAAAATTCCAAACAGCAGCTAGTAAATTCCATGTGAGAAATACTTCTGGCTTTCTGACCCCTGGACAGTCAGAGTTCGCTCTGCACGGAGGAGCAGTCTCCCTTCCTTATCAAAAGGACCCTGCGCTCTTTTCTTCTGAGTGACTCACTTCAGAGTGATTTTCCTGCTCAGGCAGCACACCCCGTGCACAGCGCCTCTCAGAAGGTGATGAGCTGAGGGTGATGCCCTCCTCAGAGCTGCACTGGTCCCGCGACCCTCTGGTGACTGGAGGTGGCGGAGTCAGGTGTGGGAATCTGGGTGCAGCGCCCACAGTGACTGCTGCCCACCTCCCCCTGGGTGGGGAGCTGCTGCGTGCCCTCCGCTCGCTGCATCCAGCTGCAGCCATCAGCCAGGGGACCCGCTTTCCCTCGGGCTGAGGAAGGATGATCCGGGCCGCTCCCCAGTGGGCACCGTCGTCAGCCCTGTTGAGAGGAACAGGTGTGTGGTGTTGGCGCGGGTCCTTTGGTGGAGCCGGCCTCGGCTTCTTCCTCCTTCATTCTTCATTCTGTGATCCCGACTCATTAACTGATCTCTTGAGTATAGAAAATCCAAAACGCGACTTTCGAATTATCTTGGGCTTCACTTTTGCTGAATATCAATGACTATTTTTAAAATCTTTATTTGTATTAGTGCCTGTTTGCAGTACTTAATGATTACCTTCCCCAAGGAGAGCTGGGACATGTACATAACACACCCTAATTCTTTCTACTTTCCCTTCCTCCTCCATCCCCTGCTCTCTCCTCCATCTCTTGGTCCCCTTCCCATTTGCAAAAGACCTATCTTCCTGCTTCCTCTTACTTGCCTTTCATTTCACTCTTTAATTTACTTATACTTTGGCTTTCTTATATAAGGGAAGCCACGTGACATTTAAGCTTGAGTGTCTGACTTATTTCACTTAACACTGAGGTCCTAAGGTTCATCTATTTTCTACATATAACCAAGTTTATTCTTCTTAATGGCAGACTAGTACTCCATTTTATATAAGTACCCCATCTTCTTTATCCATTCATCTGTCGATGAAAACAGAGGCTGCTTCCAAGACTCAGCTATTGTGACTCTGTTGCTATAAGCAAGGACACACACGGATCTCTGTAATATGATACAATGTCTTTAACTCTTTGGGGAAGCTATCTCGGAGGGGAATAGCTGGGCCGATGGAATTTCTGTTTTTAGTGTTTTGAGGACTCTGCTGATTTCGCTAGTGGTTGTATAATTTGCATGCTGTGGCTCTTTATGGTCAAGTGAGATTTCCTCACTGAGTTCACCCACTGGTGGTCGAGTAGTACACACAACAGTTCATGCTCTCACAGATGTCGCAGTATATTTTTGGTTTTTGCTTCTATAATTATTTTGTTCCTTAACTTTTCCATTATCATAATGACATGTTTCATTTTATTATGTTAAACTACTTTTGTCCTTCTACCAAGGAGAGACTTCTGTAATAGGGCTTTCTCTGGGTTTTGTTTTGATTTTACATTAAAAGCTGTGTTTGCTATGGAAATAACTCTTGACTAAATGTACTAGATAATTTGCACCACTTGAGGCCAAGTCCTGGTTTTTGTTAATTAGCTAAGTGACATTTCTTAGCCAGTTTTCTTTCTTTACAGCAGGTTTCCAAGGTTCACGACTACAACCCCAAACTCTACTTGAGAACATCTTTCATGGAGAGAAGACTGTCGGATTGGGACACTGGCTTCCTGTGTCTTCCTCTGTGGTCATCTTTCTGTGTACTGGGAGATTTGGCTGAATGATGACATTAGCATCTTAGGGTGTTTTGTTTTTTGTTTTTGTTTTTTTGAGACAAGGTCTCACTGTGTAGCGCGGGCTTGCCTTGTACTCACAGCCACCCTCCTGCCTCAGCCTCCCGAGTGCTGGGATTGCAAGTGTGCACCACCACCATACCCAGCCTAATAGCATCTTGTTGAAAATACTTTCTAGAGATGTGAGGAAAAACTCAGAAGTAGTTCTGGGTTTCAGCAAAGCTACTCAACTTCTGAGTTTCTTGGCTATTGGTGAACAGTTTGTGGTTTCTGTTGCGATGTGCGTTGGGGTGGGTTTTGTATTATCCAGACCAGGGAAAATGTAGAAATGTTTCTGCCAGAGGTTTGAGAAGATGTAAAACATACCTGCAGATTGACTTTGCTGTTTTAGTTCTGGCTCTCAGTTTCTGTATTTCTTTCTTAAAATTAATAAAGTTTATAGCTTTATAAGTGTCATGTAAAGTGAAAATATCATCCTTTTATCAGCTTTAGAAACACAGATTAGTGAACAGGAATCATGAAAGGGTACTTTATTTGGAAGCTATTTTGCAGTGGTCAAATAGTTGTCACTGGATGTTTATTACTGGCTAATTGTGAACTGGGAAGATTGATAAGCAAATTATCAAATTATTTCTGTATTTCAAGTGACAAGGATCTTAGTTTCAGCAAAGAACTTTGGTTTAGTAAGTGAGATATTTAAATTTCTTGTTTAATTTCTTGTATCTGGATTCAGAAACGGTCTTAGGGAAGGAACATGATTATTAATTCTGCTGTCATTGACTTCCTGTCCGCAGTCACAGAATTATATCGATGGTATCTTTCTTTGATGATTTGAGCCCTCAGTTGTGAACACGCTGTTCACAGTGGCGGACTAAGC